TTAAGTATAAGTATAAGTATAAGTATAAGTATAAGTATAAGTATAAGTATAAGTATAAGTATAAGTATAAGTATAAGTATAAGTATAAGTATAAGTATAAGTACTCATATACATATGCTTTAGATATACTAAGTCTTAACAACCCACACACCCCACAATCTTGACAGGGTATTCGAACTATGTTAAACAAACTTGCAAACATAATCGTCCTATGAGGAGGGGCAGTGGGGGGAGGTGCACAACGAACATATGCATACGAAAATTCCTGCATTATAACATTCCCAGCATGGGAACAACGACGTCTTTAAGGTTGCGACCCATCTGCGTATACGTGACATCTATGTAACAATGTCGTTACCAGAAGGCTTACATGCATATTTGAGTAACGTTTGGCTGAACTCAATCGCTTCAGCTTCCACAATAACTGCGCATTCATATATGCATTACACAGATGATATACTATGTAGACATATAGACATATGTACATCAGGCATAATTAGTTGTACGGCTAATGATTTGTAGATTTACATGCGCACTTTGCCTCTTCATCTACATACATATGTATATATGTATGTATAGATTGTAGTATGGCGTATAATATTTAGTCATGGATGATAAGTACTGCGCGTATGACTAAAGCGCTAAAATATTAATAGATCGAAATGGAAGCGGACCTTGAACGCTGATTGTTTTCACTTATGTCCAAACAGTAGAACATGTGTATAATTGGCGCGAGACAACAACAGCAACAACAACAACAACAACAACAGTAACAGCAACAAGAACAACAAGAGCAAAAGCTATTCGCATCCGTTTGCCTATAAAAGATTTATGATTCTCTATACACTATAAGTATACAAATATGAATACTATGTATATTTAAATATATAAAATATGTGCTTAAATCATATTTTGCTTAGCTGACTGTACTAATTTGTAATCATTGGAAAACCGCAATTCTACATAAAATTAGATGAGTCTAAAAATATATATAAATATGAGTATTAGTATGAGTATAAGTGTAAGTATAAGTATGAGTACAAATGAATGTGAGTAGAAGTATTAGCAAATGTATAAGTATGAAGTATAAGTTTAAGTTATACGCTATAAGAGTGAGTATAAGTTATAAGTATAAGTGGGAGTCTAAGGTATATATGTATATAAGCATTATGTTAGGCTCATGTTAAATAGTATTCTTGACTGCCGAAGAATACTATTTAACATGAGCCTAACATAATGCAAAACTAATAGAAATATGCATAATATATTTAAATAGTATTTCGGTATACCTAGGCTTCGATCTATAAATTTATATTACTTTGTATTTCAAATAATAAGTTTGATCGATAAATGTTATCAACAGTTGCTGTCGATAAGTTGTTATCAACATTTGCTATCGATAAATTGTATTATAACGTAAATATAAGCTGGTAGAGGCTGACTGGCCTTATATATGAGTATACGTCCATACATACATATATAGCTTTCAACTTCTATCTGCCTTCTAGGGCTAACCGATTGCCAATAGAGTCGGAAATGCAGCAGCTGTTGCCATTATAGTCTTTGGCATTGGCCCCGTCAATAGATAGAACGCCTTCGTCTGCTTCTTCTTACTTTCTTCACACGATACTCGCCAACGGCATTGACATCGGTTTTCAAATTATGATATTTCAGTTAGCCAAGGCCTAAGGGCCCACTCTTGCATTTAATAGAGTTCGCAATTTTGCTTTGAGCGTCGCAATTAATGGCAATTACATGGATTTGAATGCTTCTATATATATGTATGTATATGTATATGTAGATGTATATATCGACCATGCACCGTTGGCCATTTGGTGAATGAATAATTCAGTCGCGGCTGTGGCGAATGCATATTAATAATTCCAGTCACGGTTATTGGCAAAATAATTAAATGTGTCCCGGTCGATGATTAAATAGAGCAAAATGCCAACTCATGGCCTGAACATCGTAAATCATACTTAAACTATACCAATATCTATATAACATATAAACATATATATTATATAGATCACATTTCGATTATATTAGCTGTTGTTCTGATAAGATAAATTTCTGCATGCAATTTCATCGTTATCTATCTATGCCTGAGAAGCCAATGAACCCAATAATCTGGCCGTAATAAACCTAAATGAACTATCATCATATACGAGCAAATTAGTCAAATAATATACAATATTATAACGTAATTGTGGCAGATTAGTTCATATATTAAAATAGATAACATTTGCCATATTCATTGTTATCGATTGCTTATATCGAATTTAATCAAATCCCGTAAAAGCTTGGCATTATAGCTTTTACGGGAATTCACAATTTTTTGCTAGTTTAGGTTTTTGATTGGAAGAGAAGATGGTATGGGTATTTCCTACTTTAACATTTTCTAAAATTACATCAAAATTCCGATATGTAAAGTTGCTCATGGAACCCATATGGACTATTCCCTTAGACTTATGCTCGCTCTAGCTCTACAATTTTTAGACTTTTATATCACAAAGGGAGAAATATTTCGTCCTTCCTTTGATTTCAAAGTCAAAATGTGAACTTTTATGCAAGTTTCATTTGAAATCAGATTTTATAGAAATTAACTTTATTTTGGATAAATTTGTAGTTTTGGAAATAAATTCGAAATTATGATAACAATTGTGGAGGATATCTTTGGCATTGCGACCAATCCATTTACTGAGCGGGCGCAGGTGGTGCGACGCTATACAATTAGCAACTCGAACCATTTGGCCGTTAGGATCATCCAACTGGGCGCTACCATACAGAGCATTACCTGTATGGATGCCTATCATAATATGGATGATATAGTATTGGGATTTGATGACATCGCCGGCTACGAGGCGCACCGAAGTCGACGCTTCGGCTGCATGCTGGGACGTGTGTCCGACTGGGTGGCCAACGGTGAATTCATGATGGACAGACGCAAGGTGCGGGTCACAAAAAATTGGAACAATAAGCATCAGATGGATGGCGGCTTCATTGGGTTCGATCGCATCATTTGGGACTTGCACACGATACTGCCCGACGGCATTACGCTCTGCCATCAGTCCGAGCACGAGCACGAGGGCTATCCGGGCAATCTGATGGTGCTGCTCCACTTCACCATGGACGACGACAATCGATTCTTTATGCGCATCGAGGCCCGCACCGATCAGACGACGCCCGTCAATATCAGCAATCACTGCTACTTCAATTTGGCCGGACAGAAGGCCGGCCGTAAGGGCATACTGGAGCATCGTCTGGTGATTGACGCCAACGATACAATCGAAACGAACGACGACAATATGCCGACGGGTCGATTTGTGAGTGTCAGCAACACCGCCTACGATATGCGTGTGCCGGCCTTCATTGGGGACCGTTTGCGGCAGTTCGAGAATAAGCCGGTGTCCGGGTTCGATGTGTGCTATGCCATCGATAAGGATTTCGATGCGAGCGTATTGCATTTTGTTGGACGTTTCCTGCATCCCGAATCGGGTCGCTACATGGAAATACACAGCAATCAGCCGGGCATGCGGTTTGAGACGGCCAACAAATTTCCCGACGACACCCGCGACGAGGAGCCCATTATGGGGAAAAGGTGTGCCCGATATTATCAGCATTCCGGCTTTAGTATCCAGCTGGAAAAGTTTCCCGATACCATGAACAATCTGGACTTTCCCACCGCCTTCATAATGCCGAGTGAGCTGTACTTCAATGAGACCATCTTTAGGTTCGGCGTTCAGGAATCGTGGAAATGTTGCGCCACCCAAGAAGAGCTCGACAAAATCGGAGCTGATATCGTGCGTTATACCTAGCTGTCAAGCCGATAACTATCGATTCTTGTTTATTCTGGCCTTCTAAATGTGTATAAAAAAACAATTGTCTAGACAAATTTATTTAGTTCGAT